GCACAGAAATGTTACGTAGTGCAGCTTTATGACCTGCGTGAAGTTCCCTCCACAAAAAAGTTTTTTTGCTGTGACAATTTTAATTTGTGCAAGTAAATTTTTTAAATTATTAGGCCCGAGCACCAGAGGTGATTAGGGCCTATTAGTATCACAAAGCGGGACCAGAGCGAGACCAGAGCGAGACCAGACCGGGACCACACCGGGACCAGAGCGGGACTAAGACTGAGACCAGACCAGGACCGGGCCGGGACCACACCGAGACTGAGATCAGAACTGAGACCGGGACCAGACCGAGACCAGGCCGGGACCAGCCCGAGACTGAGATCAGAACTGAGACCGGGACCAGACTGAGACCGAGACCAGACTGGGACCAGACTGGGACCAGACCAGGACTGAGACCAAGACCGGGCCAGGACCAGGCCGGGACTGAGGCCAAGACCAGGCCAGGATCAGGCTGGGACCAGACCAGGATTGAGATCAGAACTGAGACCGGGACCAGACCGAGACTGGGACCGGGACCCAAGCGGGACTGAGACAAGTCTGGGACCGAGACGAGGCCGGGACCAGACCGGAGGCTCAGAGCCCACGTTAGGGCTGAAGCTCAAAGCTGAGGCTCGAACACTGCAGAGGCTCAGAGTCAAAGCTCTGGTCTCAGTCCCGGTCTAGTCCCGCTCTGGTCCCGGTCTGGTCCCGGTCTCAGTCCCGAACCTGGATCAGTCCTGGTTCAGTCCGTATGCGGCACAACAGTTACAGCAGTCACGTAAACGGGAAACGGCCGTTAAAACGAAAACTGAAAAAAAAAAAACCAATCATTATCTGTTTTTCATTTTGGTTTTGGAGACAAATAAATTTCTTATTTTTAGTTTTATATTGAAAAAAACAATATCGGTGAAACGAATCGGTGAATCAAACGGTATCGGTGAAAATCCTCACAGCGGTGTATCGGTCAGAAATCTGTTTAAAGCGGTGTTGTCAGTTTTGTTTTGTTTCGTACAGCGGTGTATCGGTGAAATCCCTCAGTTTAAAGTTGTGTTTTTGTTTCGTACAGCGGTGTATCGGTGAAATCCCTCAGTTTAAAGTTGTGTTTTTGTTTCGTACAGCGGTGTATCGGTGAAATCCCTCAGTTTAAAGTTGTGTTTTTGTTTCGTACAGCGGTGTATCGGTGAAATCCCTCAGTTTAAAGTGTGTTTTGTTTTTGTTTCGTACAGCGTGTATCGGTGAAATCCCTCGTTTTTGTATCGGTGAAATCCCTCAGTTTAAAGTTGTGTTTTTGTTTCGTACAGCGGTGTATCGGTGAAATCCCTCAGTTTAAAGGTGTGTTTCTGTTTCGTACAGCGGTGTATCGGTGAAATCCCTCAGTTTAAAGGTATAATCTGGTCATTACCCGAACAGCAGCAGCAGCACGAATCAGAAAAACAAACACTGTGGTCCGGGCGGGATTAGAGCTGCTGCTGATGCTGTTACTACACATGTCGCTTACATAAACGCGGCCCACACACTCACACAGCGGGACAACGGCTCCAACTCAACATCATTATTCTACACGAGACTCGTCACTGATCACATTTTCAACTAGACGAGTCATTTTGAATTATTTTTGCTGTAGATCGAGACTCGGACCTGTAACATTTCAGGAAAAAGTTTATTATTTTACTGTGGACAAATGTGAGTCACACACGTCACAGTGTTTTTTATCCTGGACTGAAGTGGTGCTGGGTTTTTCGGGTTTTTTCAGACTAATTCCCTAAAATCACGGCGATATCAGGAAACGACGTCGTGACGGTGCCGAGTGTCGAGACTCCAGGATCTGCTCTACGGACTCAGGGAAAGTCTGAGATTCTCTTAGTCTTAGTTCAAGGTTAGTCCTGGTTTAGACCTGGTTTAGTCCTGGTTCAGTCCTGGTCCTGGTTTAGACCTGATTCAGTCCTGGTTTAGACCTGGTTTAGACCTGGTTTAGACCTGGTTTAGACCTGGTTTAGACCTGGTTTAGACCTGGTTTAGACCTGGTTTAGACCTGGTTTAGACCTGGTTTAGACTTGGTTTAGACTTGGTTTAGACCTGGTTTAGACCTGGTTTAGACCTGGTTTAGACCTGGTTTAGTCCTGTTTTAGTCTTGGTCCAGTCCTTGTTTAGTCCTGGTTTAGTCCTGGTTAAGTCCTGGCTTAGTCCTGGCTTAGTCCTGGTTCAGTCCTGTTTAGTCCTGGTTTAGTCCTGGTTCAGTCCTGGTTCAGTCCTGGTTCAGTCCTGGTTCAGTCCTGGTTCGGTTCTGGTTCAGTTCTGATTCGGTTCTGATTTAGTCCTGGTTCAGTTCTGATTCGGTTCTGATTTAGTCCTGGTTCAGTCCTGGCTTAGTCCTGGCTTAGTCCTGGCTTAGTCCTGGTCTAGTCCTGGTTTAGTCCTGGTTTAGTCCTGGTTTAGTCCTGGTTTCAGTCCTGGTTTAGTCCTGGTTTAGTCCTGGTTCAGTCCTGGTTTAGTCCTGGTTTAGTCCTGGTTTAGTCCTGGTTTAGACCTGGTTCAGTCCTGGTTCAGTCCTGGTTTAGTCCTGGTTTAGTCCTGGTTTAGTCCTGGTTCAGTCCTGGTTCAGTCCTGGTTTAGTCCTGGCTTAGTCCTGGTTTAGTCCTGGTTTAGTCCTGGCTTAGTCCTGGTCCAGTCCTGGTTTAGTCCTGGTTTAGTCCTGGTTTAGTCCTGGTCAGTCCTGGTTTAGTCCTGGTTTAGTCCTGGTTTCAGTCCTGGTTCAGTCCTGGTTTAGTCCTGGTTTAGTCCTGGTTTAGTCCTGGTTTAGTCCTGGTTCAGTCCTGGTTCAGTCCTGGTTTAGTCCTGGTTTAGTCCTGGTTCAGTCCTGGTTTAGTCCTGGTTTAGTCCTGGTTTAGTCCTGGTTCAGTCCTGGTTAGTCCTGGTTTCCAGTTTAGTCCTGGTTTAGTCCTGGTTTAGTCCTGGTTTAGTTCTTTTGTTGACAGTTAAAGTTCTGTAATATTCGTGTCATATTTTATATTTTAAACACATTAATATTGTAAAGTCACAAATTCCTCTGAAACGACAGAAACGACTCATAAAAAACATTTCACAGTTTTAAAGTCACTTGTCCAACGGTGTTTACAAGAGCACGATGATGTGTCCTGCTCAAGGGCACAAGTCCACAGTTTAATAGTTTAATAAAGCATCGTTTAGACGTTTAAAGGTTCCGTGTGGGCAGAGACTGGGACAAATCGGTGGTTTTGTTTAAATCTTTTGGGACGGGGGGACACAGACTCTGGGACTGTCCCGGTTAAACGGGAACGTCCGGTCAAACGAACGAAACCACAAAAAACAACAACGACAACGACAGAACACAGCAGTGAGAGGGTCAAAGGTCAAGACCTCAGGAATGTACCATTATGTGACGATTCAACCACGGAGACCATAAACCAGAACTAAACCAGGTCTAAACCAGGTCTAAACCAGGTCTAAACCAGGACTAAACCAGGACTAAACCAGGACTAAACCAGGTCTAAACCAGGTCTAAACCAGGTCTGAACTGGGACTAAACCAGGTCTAAACCAGGTCTAAACCAGGTCTAAACCAGGTCTAAACCAGGTCTAAACCAGGACTAAACCAGAACTAAACCAGGTCTAAACCAGGTCTAAACCAGGTCTAAAACTGGACTAAAACCAGAACTAAACCAGGTCTAAACCAGGTCTAAAAACTCAGGACTAAACCAGGTCTAAACCAGGTCTAAAACCAGGTCTAAACCAGGACTAAATCAGGTCTAAACCAGGTCTAAACCAGGACTAAAACCAGGTCTAAACCAGGACTAAACCAGGACTAAACCAGGTCTAAACCAGGTCTAAACCAGGACTAAACCAGGACTAAACCAGGACTAAACCAGGTCTAAACCAGGTCTAAAACCAGGTCTAAACCAGGTCTAAACCAGGACTAAACCAGGACTAAACCAGGACTAAACCAGGTCTAAACCAGGACTAAACCAGGACTAAACCAGGACTAAACCAGGTCTAAACCAGGTCTAAACCAGGTCTAAACCAGGTCTAAACCAGGACTAAACCAGGACTAAACCAGGACTAAAACCAGGTCTAAACCAGGTCTAAACCAGGACTAAACCAGGACTAAACCAGGTCTAAACTGGGTCTAAACCAGGTCTAAACCAGGACTAAACCAGGTCTAAACCAGGTCTAAACCAGGTCTAAACCAGGTACTAAACCAGGTCTAAACCAGGACTAAACCAGGTCTAAATCTGGTCTAAAACAAGACTAAACAAGAACTAAACCAGGTCTAAACAAGAACCAAACCAGGACTGCACCAGGACTAAACCTGGTCTAAACCAGGTCTGAACCTGGACTAAACCAGGACGAAACTAGGACGAAACAAGGACGAAACCAGGTCTAAACCAGGTCTAAACCAGGTCTAAACCAGGTCTAAACCAGGTCTAAACCAGGTCTAAACTCGTGTCCTGAAGCGGGGCTGTCGTGGTCTCACATCGATCCGTGTGAACTGCGCACGCTTCAGCTCGATGCTCGTTTTTACGCATTGACCCTGCACCACCATCCTGCCCCGTCCCGTGCGGTCCCGGACCAACCCGGACCGACCCGGACCGACCCGGACCGGCCCGTGTTCTGTCCCGTGCTGGTCCACAATTTCCCCTCCGTTTGGACTCACTCCGCTTTCTGCACACAACCCCGTGCGTGCGCTTAGTTACGTAATAACATCGATAATAACAACAACATTTTAACACTTTTACGAAGCGACCGTCACCCCGCACCGTAAGCATGCAAAGTTACGCACGATTTTTGGGACGATTTGACGTGATCTCGCGTTTGAAGTGAGTGTCATCGCGTTCTGGATTCGTGCGTAATCGGCAGCTGGCACGATGGGCGCGATGCACTTTCCACGTCAACAAACATCAAAATAAACCGTGGCAATGCGCAGCGCGGAGGAGCAAAGTTGTAAGAAACGTGTTCGAGAGCGTAAAAAAATGCAAAATGCGTGACAATGCGCGTGTTTTTTACCGTTTCGTCGCGTCGTAATCCGGGGAGATGTCGCTCGTTTCGCTCGGTCCATCTATTTACCGTCCGACCAGTCCCGACCAATCCCGACGCGCACGGGGACAGACCGGGAGCGTCACGCGTCACTTCCGGACACTCTGGCCCAGCGAGCCCACGAGCCGTGCACCTGTAATCCGCCGCGAAGATCGTCTCTGAGCGACAGGAGCACCGGGCCCGACACGGAGAGTTTTATCATCGTCAGAAACTCGATTATTTTTTATTTTATTTTGTTTTATTATATTTTATTGTATGTCTGGACCAGGACTAAACCAGGACTGAACCAGGACTAAACCAGGTCTAAAGCAGGACTAAAGCAGGACTAAAGCAGGACTAAAACCAGGTCTAAACCTGGTCTAAACCAGGCCTAAACCAGGTCTAAACCAGGATGAAACCAGGTCTAAACCAGGTCTAAACCAGGTCTAAACCAGGACTAAACCAGGTCTAAACCAGGACTAAACCAGGTCTAAACCAGGACTGAACCAGGTCAAAACCAGGACTAAACCAGGTCTAAACCAGGTCTAAACCAGGATGAAACCAGGTCTAAACCTGGTCTAAACCAGGTCTAAACCAGGACTGAACCAGGTCAAAACCAGGATGAAACCAGGTCTAAATCAGGTCTTAACCTGGTCTAAATCTAGGACTAAACCAGGACTTAACCAGAACTAAACCAGTACTAAAGCAGGACTAAACCAGATCTAAACTAGGACTAAACCAGGTCTAGAAAAGAACTAAGACGTGTCTATATTTTTAATAATGTTGCAAGATAAAAAATAAACTCAACATAAAGACTCATTTAAAGGTGCACTGTGGAACTTTTCCAATGGAAGCTCTTGTATCCATACACTGTACTGGTATTATTATTTTAATTTTATTTTATTTGAGCAGAATTTATTTTATTTTACCAGAATTTATTTTATTTGTCCAGAATTTATTTTATTTTATTTGAGCAGAATTTATATTATTTTATATCATTTGAGCAGCATTGATTAATTTTATTTTATTACATTTGTCCAGAATTCATTTTATTTTATTTTATTTTATTTGAGCACAATTTATTTTATTTTATTTTATTTCATTTCAGCACAATTTATATTATTTTATTTGAGCACAATTTATTTTATTTGAGAACAATTTATTTTATTTTATTTGAGCACAATTTATTTTATTTTATTTTATTTTATTTGAACAGAAAGTGAAAATAAAGAGTGAATTTATACTTCAGAAAAAAATTAAAAGACAAAATATGACTTCAAATTAAAATAAATTCAGGTTAAGATTCTGGACGGATTTTTATTTATTTATTATTAATATGCTGTATAAGGACTAAACTAAGACTAAACCAGGACTAAACCATTTAATTAATTAGTTTTTAGTTAATTGTTTAAAAAATCTCTGCAAAATATTTTTACATTTTACTCATGAAGCACATTTTTAAACATGTACTTTAATATTTTTACGTTTTAAGTCGATTTATTCACGTGATATTTTTAGTTTTACTTGAGTAACTTCTTATTCTTGTATTTGTATTTTTATTTATTTTACTTTTTTTATTCTGAGTCGGGAGTGATGCGTCTGTCGTCTGTTTTTATCTGTGCACGTTCTATAAATAAATTCGTATTTTATCGTGAATGGCTCCGGGGATTTACGGGACGGGACCAAACCGAAGCCCCGACCTGGCACCTCACTCCAGCTCCTGCGGGGTCACACCGGCCTCTCGTGCGCTTCATTTAATCACCGCGTTTATTAAAGACGAAACAAGAAAGAACATGAACGTAAACACGCGCACGTCTCCTACGACATTTAAAGGGCCCGTGCGGATATTATTTCTGATTTACGTTATAATCACAGTTTCGTTTCATTCACATGTTTAACACAAACTCTGCAGATTTAAGGCTCATTTACACGAAAACGCTTACGGGTATAAAAACGACTAAATATTTTATCGGTGGTGCTTTTCGTTTTTTTTTTTTTTTTTTATTGTCAAAATTGTGAAGTTTGTTTTCGTTTTGGTCTTTCGTCCACATGGAGCTGGTATTTTGATCAATTTAATTATAATTTATTACGTTACGTTATATGTTTAAACCAGGTCTAAAACCAGGTCTAAAACCAGGACTAAACCAGGATTAAACCAGGACTAAACCAGGTCTAAAACCAGGTCTAAACCAGAACTAAACCAGGACTAAACCAGAACTAAACCAGGACTAAACCAGGTCTAAAACCAGGTCTAAACCAGGTCTAAACCAGGTCTAAAACCAGAACTAAACCAGGTCTAAACTACGATTCAACCAGGACTAAACCATTACTAAAACCAGAACTAAAACAGGTCTAAACAAGGACTTAACCAGGTCTAAACCAGGACTAAACCAGGACTAAACCAGGACTAAACCAGGTCTAAACCAGGTCTAAACCAGGTCTAAACTACGATTCAACCAGGACACAACCAGGACTAAACCAGGTCTAAAACCAGGTCTAAATTAGGTCTAAATCAGGTCTAAGTCAAGTCTAAACCAGGACTAAACCAGGACTAAACCAGGTCTAAACTAGGTCTAAACCATTACTAAAACCAGGACTAAAACAGGTCTAAACAATAATTTAACCAGGTCTAAACCAGGACTAAAACAGGTCTAAAACTAAACCAGGACTAAACCAGGTCTAAACCAGGACTAAACCAGGACTAAACCAGGACTAAAACCAGGACTAAACCAGGACTAAACCAGGTCTAAACCAGGACTAAACCAGGTCTAAACCAGGACTAAACCAGGACTAAACCAGAACTAAAACCAGGACTAAACCAGGACTAAACCAGGACTAAACCAGGACTAAACCCAGGACTAAACCAGGTCTAAACCAGGTCTAAACCAGGACTAAACCAGGTCTAAACCAGGGCCAATTTGAAGAGAACAAACATGAATTTTCATGACAATATCAAGTAATCCAAAGTATTCAGATTACATTACTCACTTTAAGTAACTTAATGGATTCCGTTACAAACTACATTTTGGTGTGTGTAATCTGTAATCTGTAATCTGTAGGGGATTACATTTTAAAAGTCAACTTCCCAACACTGGTTATATTGTTTATATATATTGACTTGAGGTGTGAAAGTGAAACCTGCTCGTCGCGTGGAAACTTCCGGAGCCGCGCGAGTCTGAGCCGCGCGCGCCGGAGCCACGCGCGCCGACACCGTCACAGAGCGAGGGCACGTTTGACAAGTTTAACTCCAGAGACGCGAACAACTCCGAGCAGTGTGAAAACAGAAGGCTAAAAATAAACACAAGCAACGTGGCTGAAAAATGCAAAATATATTTATGTTTCCATCAGTCGAACTTTCTGTGGGGGGAGGAGCTACCTGCTTGTCTCCTTGGATATGTTGTTGTTCAGACTAGAATGTTCCACTGTATGGAATTAAATGTATTCATTTAAATGTATTCACTTCTACAACTCAAAAAATAAAAGGGTTATTTTTTTCTGTTCACAGGGTCAGTGCTCGCCTGGAGGAACTGGACACTTTGAGCGGCGAGTGTGCTTCTCTTGTGCTTTTTGTGTGCTGCTGATTAAAATGTCTTTTCATGTTATAAATTCATCTGTGACATTTATGACGTTTAAAGAGAGAAGCTGCTTCAAAAAATGAATGCAGCAAAATATGTCTCTCTTTTAAGTGATGGGCCCCAGACTGAGCTGTTACTGGAAACAAACTAATGTGTGTTTGTTTTTTATCAGTTGAAGGGCCAGTCAGTGTTGACCTTTCCATTCAAGATCTAAAACACGTCAATGCAGCTGGGATCTATGAAGCCACTCAAGCAGGTACATTTTAAATCTCAAATGACTAATACTGTAAATATCTTTCTCATCTATATCTATGTTTTACATGTTGTAGTATTTGAGGAAGCTGGGGTTGACACGTGGTCGAAGTGTCTGGTTGGTTTTGGAGGTGATGGGGCTGCAGTCAGTCTGGACTGGATAAGTGGTGCGACTGCACTGGTGTCCGTGCACTGCACAGCTTATCGCCTTGAGCTATGTGTTGTTTGGGTGACAAAAAATAATTGTTGGGTGGAGGAAATGTGAAAAAAGTGATGCTCAAACACATGTATGAACAGTACAATAATTCTCCAAAAGCAGCGCGAGAGCTCAGATTGGTTGCAGACGCCTTGGAGGAAAAGGTTCTGAAGCCATCAAACCTTCATGGTTTCTGCTGGCTTCCATATGTGCATCGTCAAGGTTCAAGGTCAAGGTTCTTTATTTTGTCATTCAAACATGTGAGAGAAACACATGACAGAACGAAATGTGCTCCCTGAGGCCCAGTGATACAGAAAGAGATAAAAAACAATAATAATAATAATAAGCAATGTTAAAAAATAAATACATTTAAAACAACAACATTTAGCAGTTCCAATGAACAAGTAGTAAACGTGGCAAGACAGAGAAAGAGGCAACCAAAGCAGGAAGTCAGTGTGCACTGTTCAAAAGTCTGACAGCCTCAGGAAAGAAGCTGAACTTCAGCCGAGATGTTCTGGCTTTAATGTTCCTCAGTCTCGTCCCAGAGGCAGAGGAACAAACAGGTGGTGGGAGGGTGCGAGGCTCCACCATGATCCTGGAGGCCCGTCTTCTACAACGCTCCTCATAAATGTCACTGATGGGTGTAAAGTCACATCCAGTGATCTTCTCTGCTGCTCTGACCTCACGCTGTAGATCTGTCCTGTCCTGGGCTGAGCAGTGGCCGTACCACACTGTGATGGACTGAGTCAACACACTTTCCACTCCACATCCATAAAAAGACATGAGAGCAGAAAGGTCTAGTCCAGCAGCCTCGAGTCTCCTCAAAAACTACAGACGCTGGTGGACCTTCTTAACAACACTCGCTGCATTAGTGGACCAAGTGAGTCTGTCGGTGATGTGCAGACCCAGGTATTTCCAGCCAGACGCCCTTTCAACTTCTGTGCCCATGATGTAGAGACGCGACAGTGAACAGCTGTTCCTCCTAAAATCCACTATTAATTCTTTTGTTTTTGAAAGGTTCAGACAGAGGTTGTTCTCTCTGCACCAGGT